TTTGATTCAAATTTGATCACAGATTGATAAAAGTTAGAGAACCATTGAAAACCAGCACTGAAGTACTGGACACCTGTTTCATCAGCCTAGTTTGGGATTTATAGGGAGTACGTACTCCACTGCAGAAGTTCGAACCTTCCATTTACAAGATAAGTCCACAGACCATTCATCCATTGAGATCTGACTCATTAGCCAGCCAATGAATTCTAACGTCTACCAAACACCAGTCAATATCATCGGTGAGCAGTTGTACTCACTCCCAATAGGGTGAACCTCATTGGTCACAACTTCTCACTAGAACTCACTCCAGGCAACTTCATCTTGCAGGTTGTCACTAATGAACATCAGATTGTAAACGGTAAGTCCGGGGTTCAAAACCTGGCGGTAGATGCGTACTGTCAACAAGTTCCAAACTCGGCTGACGAAACAGCTGTCCAGTACTCCCTCAATGGTTTTCAATGGTTCTCTAACTGATATCAATAATCCATGATCAAACTTCAAAACAAATCAAATCCTTACAAACACACTCATGTAAATTATTCGACCATTACATAAATTCGACGCCTCTATTCAATTTTTAACATTCGTTAGTAGTCCTTAATTATTATTTCTGCACACACTGAGAAACTTAACAACGGCAATTGTTCATTTCCATTAAAGGTACTTAATCACGTGATACGAATTATGTATCTATCACTTTTATAATCAATAATTAAATATATTCTGTGCATATTGACATTGAATTGTTCATAGTTGTATGCAGTTGAATAAAAACCAGAGAAATATACAATAACGCCAATTTATCCTGCTCAGCAACATTAACCCTTTGATGATATTAGGTAGTTGGAGGTTATCGGCCACTGGAAGCCTTGGACCTAAGTTTCGCGCTAGTTGGCACTCTTTACCATTACCCATTCTGTTTCACTCTTATACTTGTCAAACTCTATTACTTCTCTCCATCCATCTTCTTGTCTACCTTTGTGTGCTATTTGGAACGTAGCAACTGGAACTGGTGCACTTCGGTGCCAAGTTCTATGTTGAATCCAGACAGACAGACAATGTATTGGCACTCACCCATAGTCAGCAAGGTGTATCTGCAACCTTGAAGGAATTCATGTCCTTTCTGAAATTCGAACCTACGTCACCCAGTGCTGCAGTCAGAGAGGTTACCTCCAACCAACTTATATCATCACATCAATGTGCACCGTGATGGCCAGCTACCTAGAATGGTGGCCACATTACAACCTGGCTGATGGAATTCATTCTGCACCGAAGAGAGGACTAGACACATCACACTAGTTACTAGTGCCAAATCAAAGCATTAACCCTTCACACGGTGCAGAAATTATAACTGACCACAATTGACGACGATTAGTCAACCACTAACATTCAGTGTGTGTATACTTATTTTTTTTTTTGATTTACAGCTTGATTCCACAATGTATTTTTGGTACAAGTATGGAATTTTCAGCATGGATATCGGTAGCCCAAAATTTACAGGCCGACCATAGATATCAGGTGTGCGTCGGTGCGGGCTCGAACCCCGGACCATGTGCATGGTCGGCGAGAGTCCTAACCACTGTGCCACCGATGCACAAAAGCCGGCAACACCCGGTATTCCCAGCCGGTCACCCATGCAAGTACCAACCGGGCCCAACGTTGCTTAACTTCGGTGATCGGACGAGAACCGGTGCTTTCAACGTGGTATGGTCGCCGACAGTATACCGTATGACAGACGATTATGTATCTTATTGCATAGACACACAATGGAATCCTGTGACGGTAAATAATTCTCCCGATATTAATCAATTAGACAACAGCTTTCAACATTCAAAACTAGGAGCTGACTTTTACTATTTAAGTTGACTAGTTAAATTGAGGATACGTTGTCCAGTGATCATGCTATTCGACTTGCTATCATGTTATATTCAGTTGCTCGTGCGTGCATTCAAGCTACCTAAGCAGACATCGTCATTGTACATTTGTGACTTGTAATTTATTTTGTCCCTTTACGTTCCCAGTGGTACATAGGTCTTCAAGCTGTAGGCTTGAAGTTTCGGTAGCAGTGGTATTTATTTTCACGGGTTGGGTTTGCTCATGCCCAACCTCCCCTCTTTATCGGTCTTATTACTGGCTTAGCGAGATAAAGGAGTGCGTTGGTGGCCGGAAATCGAACCCCAGGCGTGGTTGGCAACCATTCTACCACTATGCTACCGATGCACGTTAGCTTCCTAACAGTTACCTAGTCTGTGTAGAACAAGTACAGCGAGAGTGACAGGATATACACACACCCGAATTTGCACATATACCTGCGTTCTGTGTACTCGTCCATATTCCTAATCTTCTGAAAGCATATTGAAAAGATTGAACAAACACACGGAATGTACAAACAGAACAAAGTACAAATAAAGCAAGGGAATCAATCGTCTCCGAAATATATTTATTCTACATTTTTGACAAATATACACTTGTTAAAAATGAATATCCCTTTGAAACCTCGTGTAGAGGTCATTTAAGTTCAAGGCCGTCCTAAAGAAAGATGTTTACATCAAATTATCATACAATATGGAAGTAAACAGTTAAATTTAAGGACATCCACTAAATTCTATCATCCATAAAACTTTCTTATGCAATCCGACTTATAATTATCTAAAAAGCTGAAAAATATGCCCTACCAGAAGCCTCCGCGATGCACAATTCGCAAATTAACTAGTAATTTGTATTTTCACAGAGTTCGAGAAGGAGGAGACCGCATATTGTGATATGAATAACTGTGGTTCTCTCTCTCTCAAACTGTGCACATTGGAAACTAATTTTCAAATTCTGAAGAATTTAATGTGTTACCAGTAAACTCAAGTAGCTAGACAAAAACTGGATTGCATGGAGGATTTCATCATAAGCTGACATCAGTTAGAGAACCACTGGAAAACCAGCCAGGAAGTACTGGACAACTGTTATGTCCTAGTTTGGGACTCTTCATCAGTAGGCGCCCACACTACGCGGCTCGAACCTAGGACCTGGTTACAAGGCGAGTTCGTAGACCACCGAGCCACTGGGACCCGATCCAATGGTTCTTGAATTCTAACTCCTGCCAATTCACGACCATTTAGGACCAGAAGGTCCTGGGTGCGAACCCCGGTGAGTGCGTACTGACGAAGAGTCCCAAATTAGGACGAAACAGATGTCCAGTACTCTCAGGATTTCCAGTATTTCTCTAACTGATGTCAGCTCATGATAAAATCCTCCATGCAATCAAACAAAATTCCTGCAAAACCAATACTTGAAAAAACTGGATTGTTACAAATGTGATTCAACCCTCTGATCTGAATCGAATCGTGCACATCACTGATGACTTCAAATCCAAACAAGCGAAACGGCTGTCTGAGGTCTAGATCACTCCCATCTGACTAACTAGTGGTATACCACCACTCATCTCGATTAATCAGGGGTATAGTTTTACAGAGAGCAATGCACGAGTGATTGTTACATTCTGTATAGTCTTTCAGTTTACATGTATGCGGATGGACACACATAAAAAGTAATCACACTTTGCAAGTGACGGGTAGGAGAAAACATACAGCCTTACGGATTATAAAATAAATGTGAACCTCTAAACCTCGATAAACGCAGTGGCAGACTACTAAGCTTATCTATCTCAAGAAAACCTCCAAGATTATATCTACAAAAACCGTCGTCAGGGATGGATACTGAAATATGTCAAAGTGACAAACTATCGTAAAATTCAGTACCAACCATCTCTCAACTCCAAATCATGAAAACGGTGTGGATTCAATATAGAACTTGGCACCGAAGTGCACCAGTTCCAGTTGCCCCATTCCAAATAGCACACAAAGGTAGACAAGAAGATGATGAGTGAGGAGAATCAGTAGAGTTTGACAAGTATAAGAGTGAAACAGAAAATGGGTAATGGTAGAAAGAAATATGAAAGATTACAGAGACTGACTACATCTGCGCTAGCCATTGACAACGATTTTAAGCCATGTCACCTATTGTCTCCAGCCATTGATTCTTAGAGTCAGTCCCAAGGGCCCCAACCCGGAAGTCTGCATCTCCCTACCTACCTGACTCAGTTTAACTGTCAAGGATTTCATGGATTGATGGCGTGTTTTTGTTTGACCACCACTTACTCTTTTCCAACCTGCACCCATATCAGCTAGTAATGCCCGTCGTGGGGGGGGGTGGCGATGGTTAGGCATGCGCACCACGTGACCGACCTAACCATCTCAATCTATGTAACTTTATAGTCTCGTCGATTGATTTTCCCTCTTTGCCCAACACTCTACGCCTAACGTCAACATTACGTACCTTATTATACCACCTAACGTGAGAAAGAGATCACAGACATCTATGATCAAAAACAGTCAACTTTTTCATGTCTTCAACTCGTATTGGCCATGTTTCAGAGCCATAGAGAAGGACGGAGCGGAGAGCTGAGGAGTACACACGTCTCTTGGTTGATAGCCAGATGTCACGCCTACACCAGAGATAGTGTAAGTTAGCGAGAGCAGATCGAGCTTTTTGGATCCGTGGTGAGATTTCGTCGCCAATCAGTCCGTTGGTGCTGACACAACTTCCTAAATAGGTGAAGTGGTCAACATGTTCTATCACTTTATTCCCTACCACTAAGCTAGGAGTTGACGTAGTCCAGTCCTGGAGCAGCATCTTACATTTGACAGCAGGGGCGAATCGCATGCCAAACATATGAAGATTGCTGCTCAAGGTGTTCAGAATCATGAGTACTAATATAACCTAGATAGATTCAAGCTGAAAAAAAGTGAACTCAGCTAGCAGAAACACGCGTTTTTGCATTCTAGACTACCAGTTACTCTTATGGCATGATGACCCGTAAGGCTGTGGTAGGAAGCGGAGGGGGACTCGAAAAGTCGGGAGGCCTACCTACCGACTGACTGAAAGTCATATCTGTTACACACAACAGAAGACGGAATAAATATAATATACATATCATACAAGTCATTAGTAAAATTGTGCAATCGCAAGTTTATATTTTGCAAAATACAAACAACAGCTAAACACACACACACACTCCTCTCAGACTATACACACACGCACACACAAATATGTGTATATGTGTGTGTATGTATAGAAATATTCAACTCAATTTTCAACTGATTGACCAAATTTTACTACAGTTCAAAACTAGAATTCAAAAAAAGGAGAAAGAGAGAGATGAATGAGCAAAACAAAAAAGAGGGGAGATCAGAAAAGAATCGAACTGCGGGGAGGGGGCGGGGGAAAGACACCCATCCACCCACACATACACACAAACAAACTCGAAGGACAGTTTTTGCAAACATTGAAACAGGATTCATTCATTAAGAAAAAACAATATCAGAGTGTATAGGAAACATTCATAAACTGATATTGAGTAATAGTAATTATTATTATTATTATGGCAGTAGTGGTACACTACATTATGAACTTGTTAGGAATAATTCTGAAATGTTCATAAAACCTACTGAGATCACATTCAGCCGCTCACATACACACACACACACAGATTGCGTTGTTACTGCTCTATTTCACTGAACTGCTGGTAATAATAATAATAATGAATAAAAAATATGAAAAAGAAAAGAAAGTGTTAAAACTAGCATAAAACAGTTGAGGGAGGGAGGGAGGGAGGTGCTAGTGAAACCAGGCCTTCAAGAAAAAAGAACCCTAACATTACATTACACAACTACTCATGCGCGCGCGCGCGAGCATACACACACACGCAGACAAATCATTGTGTAATCAAGATTTCACAAATACACTTGGGATAAACAACACAATACATTGAAGTGATGTTGCAAGGGGGTGGGGTGCAAGAAAGGAAACAAAATGTTTTGTTTTTTATCGAAATGATGATTTTAAAAAAATTTGTGCTTTTTACTTGGTTAAAAAATAAAGAATTTATTTAAAATTAAAAATGAAAAAGAGAAAAGTTCAAATGTGTTTGTACCACTACAGAGTATATCTTTCATTCACAACTTCCTTTGTGTTGTACAGAGAGGGAGACACAGCCTCAATGCAAAACAGCAAGTAGACAAGAGTCAGTCAGCCATTCAGTGTACATGCAGCAAAATGTTTTCCTTAATTTAATTCATCAAATCGAGGTGCTCGCACGACGATGGCTATGCTGGTGACGGTGATGATGATGGACTCCACAAGAACAGCACAACTGTGCTTGCTTCACACATCACTCAGTAGTAGACAAAAAAATAAAGGCTATTGATAAAATAACACTTTTTTTAGTTCATCATAAGGCAAACTTTTATACGTATCGTTGAAATATCCATCCTAGTCTGTCAAACACAGTTGAGAAAGGAGTGTGCGACGGCAGGGTTGGGTGTTGCAGAGAGGAGAGAGAACAGAGAACACAGAGAGAACAGAACAGTTATTGTAAAACAAAAGCTTTTTTGCATTAGTATTATAATAGTATTATTAGTAGTATTATATATTCATATGCATACAACAATTCAAATAGAATATAGAATAGAATATTATCAACCGGAGAAATCATGATTTCGTGTATATTTGGCTGTTGTTGTTGTTCCTTGTTTATTTGTTGTCTGGTGTTGCTGTTTAGATGTTTGGATGCATAGATAGAGATTGTGGAAAAGAAGGAAACTTCACAAAATCAATTCAGCGGGACATAACAACAATTGATGAGATGGATTTTTATAAGAAATAATCCGGTGTACGCCTTGATACATGCGGTTCACCACGACGTGGAGCAGGATCGAACTGCAAACTAAAATCAAAAAATGAAATTAAAGTTAAAGTTATTTGTGTGTGACATTCACGAATGACGTCAAAAAACTCAGTTAATCGAAAGAGATCACTAATGTGCCCAGAACTACGAGCCACATTTATTGTGTATGACGGATCCAATCATACAACACACAAATACCCTGGATAAAATAGACAAGCAGAATATAATTCAAACCCATATCCAGTCAGTTGAAAATCCATAGCTAATGCAAGCGAACATCATATACTACTCTCATAATGATGACGATATAACTAAGATTCTCCAGTTACTGGGGGTCCAGGGTTCGAGTCCCAATCCAGGTACTTCAGCTGAAACACGAAAAACAATTTCTGTGAAAATGTAAGATGCTGCTCCAGGACTGAACTACATCAACTCCTAGCTTAGTGGTAGGGAATAAAGTGATAGAACATGTTGACCACTTCACCTATTTAGGAAGTTGTATCAGCACCAACGGACTGATTGGCGACGAAATCTCACCACGGATCCAAAAAGCTCGATCTGCTCTCGCTAACTTACACTATCTCTGGTGTAGGCGTGACATCTGGCTATCAACCAAGAGACGTGTGTACTCCTCAGCTCTCCGCTCCGTCCTTCTCTATGGCTCTGAAACATGGCCAATACGAGTTGAAGACATGAAAAAGTTGACTGTTTTTGATCATAGATGTCTGTGATCTCTTTCTCACGTTAGGTGGTATAATAAGGTACGTAATGTTGACGTTAGGCGTAGAGTGTTGGGCAAAGAGGGAAAATCAATCGACGAGACTATAAAGTTACATAGATTGAGATGGTTAGGTCGGTCACGTGGTGCGCATGCCTAACCATCGCCACCCCCCCCCCCCCACGACGGGCATTACTAGCTGATATGGGTGCAGGTTGGAAAAGAGTAAGTGGTGGTCAAACAAAAACACGCCATCAATCCATGAAATCCTTGACAGTTAAACTGAGTCAGGTAGGTAGGGAGATGCAGACTTCCGGGTTGGGGCCCTTGGGACTGACTCTAAGAATCAATGGCTGGAGACAATAGGTGACATGGCTTAAAATCGTTGTCAATGGCTAGCGCAGATGTAGTCAGTCTCTGTAATCTTTCATATTTCTTTCTACCATTACCCATTTTCTGTTTCACTCTTATACTTGTCAAACTCTACTGATTCTCCTCACTCATCATCTTCTTGTCTACCTTTGTGTGCTATTTGGAATGGGGCAACTGGAACTGGTGCACTTCGGTGCCAAGTTCTATGTTGAATCCAGACCAGAGAGATAAATTTCTGTGTAACTGGGTCTCATCAGTAACTAATTAATAAACAAAATGCGATAATTCCATCAGCCGGTTTACGAGAAGGGACAAAAAACAAGCTGAGGAAGATTTAAATAGTTATCATCCCCTCATCTTTGTGAACGACTCTATACGATGTTGACACGAATCTGCAACTTCTAATTAATATCTACACACTCGGTTATTCGTAGGACCTATTTTGTATCCCATCTTGTGATCATTGAAAAGGCCAAAAAGAAGCTCCACAACAAACCTCAAAAGTGCACTAGTGATTAACGCCACATCCCACACTATATACCAATTTACGTAATTGCACTTAGCATGTGAGGGTGGGAGAACATATTGCCAAATGGTTAGAAAAACAGGTGAACTTTAGAAAATCGATAGACCGCAGTTGGAAAACTACCAACTTCATCCAATGGCCAAACATCTGATCGATATGAACCACAAAACTGATGTCAACACAGCTTTTAAGGTCATTCATAAAAATGGTGAAGGACGCTTGTTGTGATACGCTGAGTCTATAGTTATTCATAAACTTAAGCCTCCCTCTCCCCAGGGGTTCAGGCAATTTGTTATCACTTTTAATCTACCTTGGTAATCCTCATCTGGTTAGATAACCAAATGTAGTGTTAATTATCCTTATTAGTCTACAATCCCCTTTGTCACTGTGCATTTTAACTGGCCCTTTGTTTTATTTTATTTTTTTATTTTTGTTTTTTATTTTTGATTACAACTTGATTTCACACTGTATTTTCGGTACAAGTATAGAATTTTCAGCATACGATATCGGTAGCCCAAATTTCGCAGGCCAACCATAGATATCAGGTGTGTGTCGGCGTGGGCTCGAACCCCGGACCATATGCATGGTCGGCGAGAGTCCTAACCACTGTGCCACCGACGCACAATTATTTAAATTGACTCGATTACATTCCCAAACCTTTGACATTGCTTTTCTCATTATGCCTGTGCTGTGGAGTAAGATTCGGGTTGTGGCGGGTTATTTTGAAGGAAACCCTTCCTTGATAAATAGCCCGACGACACGTATTTTGTACTACGGGTGGCTTTCATTTACAAATACCGGATGAACTAACGTTTAGTTACTACTAACCGTATAATCAACCCTGATGTAACTATCTGAATAATTCAGGTGGTTCATGGTAATGAGCAAAATCTCACATAAGTATTTCAGCCAGTACTCCCCGTCTACTCAAGAATGACTGAGTGGTTTTAACATAGAAATTTGCACGAATGTGCACTAGAGTTCGAGTTATCACACTCCATGTAGCACAACAAAGTTATGGGAGAAAGTAACGAGAGATTCAACAAAATAGACAAAACAGAAATGCGAAGGATAAAGAATAGTAGTAATATGGAAGAACAACAGAGTTTTATTGGATATGACACAACACAAAGAGTGAATGCATCTGCGCCAGCCATCACTGAGAACGATTCTCAGCCATATCACCAAATAGTCTCCAGCCTTCATTGGCTCTTACCATCCTGAGAACCGTGTCCAATCAGCCAAGAAGTACACACCTACCTGCATGATTGGCAGGCTTAAACTAGCTGTTATGGGTTTCATTGACCGATGAAACCACGTTTTGGTTTGACCACCGCCACTAGCTTCTTTTCCAATCTGATCGATGTTGTGTGAGTCCGCTAAAATTTTCTTTCTGAATCGATGTAACTTTACAACCTCGTCGACTGATTTTCCCTTCTTACCTAGCACCCGATCGATGCCTAACCTTAATATTGCTTACCCTATTGTACCACCACCTAACACACGGGAGATAGAAGGCAGACACCTATGATCAAAGATAGTTAGACTTTTCATATCTTCCATTTTCAATGGACATGTCTGACAGTCAGCGACAGAGGAGGATGGAGAGAACTTGCTGGGCAGTACAAATATCTTTTGAGTAGCAACTGGTTGTAACATCTACTCCAGAGGTGATACAAGTTGCCGTTTGTCACACGAGCCTTTCGTTTCCTAGCTGACATTGCGTCAATAAGGGGTCCATTAGTCCTGATGCGTCTTCCTGAATACGTGAAGTGGTCAATACGCCCAACCACTTCATTCCTTATCTTTAAACTAGGAGTCAGAGTAGTTCAGTCCTACAGTATGACCTTATCTGTGAGATACGGACGAATCATATGCCAAACATACTAAGATTCCAGTTAAGGTGTCCATAAGACTCTCCAATTTGTCAGCGTGTACACTTAAAAGGACAGTATTATTCGCACACTTTAAATTCACGAGGCTTCTTTGGTGACAAATCAATTCTTAAGTCACTTAGGTGGATCACGGTCGCGTCCATTAGTACATGTATGATGAAGCTAAACAAAAGTGGAGACATTTATGATCCCTGACAGACATCACTGGTTGCCTTTAACGCAGATGACAATACTCAACAATCTTTTAAAAAGGTTACATAAGTTCGATTAGCGCCTTGATTAGATTAACGCAACAAATTTTCTCGGTAGTACCTTCACGACTACACATGGTTAACGCACTTCTCGACCGATTGAGTTAAATGATACCTTTAGGTCAAGAAATACGGCAAGTATTAGTTTTGCAGGGGATTTTGTTTGATTGGTTGGAGGATTTCATTACGAGTTGACATCGGTTAGAGAACCACTGGGACTATTGGATCGGGCCTCAGTGGCTTAATGGTCTACGAGCTCGCTAGGCCTTGCAACCAGAAGGTCCTGGGTTCGAACCCTGGTGGATGCGTACTGCTGAAGAATCCGAAACCAGGGCAAAACAGCTATCCAGTAATCCTGGGTGGTTTTCTAATGGTTCTCTAACCGGTGTCACCTAATGATGAAATCCTTCAACCAAATACGGCAAGTCTATGAATAGGTCTATTTTTCACAACATATGGGAGAGTAGAGATGCGATCCATACATCCTCGGCTGGGTGAAAATCCTCACTGATTTACACAGGTTTAGTTTCCTACAGTGCTGCTTATTTTGACTGACTGGATTCAACACATAGGACTTGGTACAGAAGTATAGAAGTCCAAGTCTCCACACTCGATGTAGCATACAAAGGAAGACAAAAGAGAAAAATGAGATTCGAAATAACAATAGTAAGTAGAAGGAACAATAACATAGAAAAACAATAGAGTTTAGCCGATATGTGAGATCACAAAGACTGAATCCATCTGTGCCACTAAGAACGATCTCGAGCCATGTAACCAATTGTCTCCAGTCACTGACCTACGTGGGACAATAAAACCTAAAATCTTAGATCCTATTAGTTCAGCTGATCTTCTTGTGATAATCACAGGAAGATTTCTTTATCCGTGTAAGCCAGGATAATCAATGAATGGTACCAGCCTAACAGGACTCTCTTAGATTCCCACATCAACCCATGAAGTCAATGGCTGTAACGGACTGTCTGGAAAGGGTTCTACGAATGCTAGAAACACTATCAGTAATCTACTGAATAACTCATCAGTATTGGTAAGTCATGTGGGCTAAAATATCAGATATTACTTTTCTCATTTTAGGCTTGCAGCATGGCAACCTTCTCATCCTTACTAAGAGTTAGTGGGCCAACATCTACATCCTACTTAGGGTTAGTAATGAATGGTGGAGAGGGCAGCTGTCAGACAGTTGTGGACCTCCGTGTTCTGATCAACTTTTCACAGTTGTTTGTTTTGAGAAACGTTGGAGACCTATTTCTTTTGAATGCAACTCACTAACTACAGGTAAATTATTTTACTAAGCCTAGTGAGTTGATGGGTTTTTTCTAGGGCTTAGATGCGAAACATCGATCTAACACCATTTGTGTCATTTTCGGTGCCAACATGATATCCGGCTAACTATCAGTAGGCGAGCGAACTGAATAGCAGTCCGTTCTTTTATTCCATAGAATCATAAAACTATAGGATTCTTTGATATTACTATTCTTTTTGCCTCATATCTCTGTTTGCTGTCTCTGTTTTGTATTTCTCTTTACTTTCTTCTCTTACTTTGTGTGCTAAGTGAACTGTGGCGACTCGAACTGCTGCACATCGGTGCAAATTTCCACGTTGTAACCGGTCAGTCATTCCATACAACTACTAGACCATAATAGAAGATAGGGAGAAAAACTACAGACTTTCCACCAAAGATGTGCTTATATAGGTTGGACACTAGGGAGTAACCAACACCACGTGTCTGGTCCTTGGTGTTAGTGCCCAAAAAATTCTACCGGTCAAGTTTTGCAATGTGGTCACACCAAGCTAGGCAACTCATCGTCGTAATGCATTTTAAAATGATGTCAAGTGGTTGGAAGCAATCCAACCGCGTTGCTACTCTTCCGCCCTTAATCTACTGTTTACTACACTCCTTTTGAATGCCTTTTTCGTCTCTATTTTCAGCCTTTGTGTGCTTCATGGAATATGTGACAACTTGAACTACTGCACTTTTATGTGAAGTCCTGTGTTGACACTCAGTCAATCAGCAGGAAGCCGTGTCAGCACTCAGCGGCGAGGTGTATCTACAGCCTCGTAGGAATTGATTCTCTCCAGAAGATTCGAGACCGGGTCTCACTAAATGCAGCTGACGAATGCCAACAAGCATTAAGCCTAATTCCATAGCTTTCTACTGACTACCACCAACTATCTAACATATGTATCCTTGGTTAGCTGTCTTTATGAATGGAACTAGAAAGATTTTAAGACTGGGTGAGGGAAGGTATGTCAATCGATAAGGTGTTGGGTTTTTATCGGTTGTAGTTTTGTTACATATCCGGAGTCAACACCAACTGATTTTGTCCCATGCTTCATTATCACCTAAATATGAAATTGTATATGCAGACTTCATGTTCTGAAACAAAAAGCTTCTAATAAAACTCAGTCTTTACATAGTACGAATCACAAAAAAGTAAGTCAACAGACATATCAGATCCAAGAATACCATGACTTCCTGTTTTCATACATCGACTTCACCAGAAAGACAAAACGATAACTACTGATATAATTTCAAGAGATGTTCAAGTAGTTCCAATAATCAACAATGACAACTAAATATAGTGAAGCAGAAGGAACTGTTGGATATAATATTGATGAGGAGCATAAGCTAAGTAATAAGAAGAAGGTCACTTCAACTTCGAAGTTTCCGGTCGAGCTGCACATCTCTGCTTAGATACATTCGAAAGATGTTTACAAAAATAAAAACGTAAGTAAATAGCAAGTTACTATGCATCATGCAGTAGAACTGTGGATTAAAGGGGTAGGCACTCAAATTTCAAGCACTGGGTCATAGGTTTGAACCCACAACTCCACTAACTGAAGTCTAACGAGCAAGATAGTATCACTAGCTATCCTTACAAAATAGATGCAACCATTTGCAAAGTGCATAGAATGTAAGTGGTCGCTGAATGACGGAACATGACAAGCACTATATCTGTTATAAGACACTTACCTAGAGAGAATGATAGGTTTTGTAAAGTCAGTCACAATATAACGAGGTGCGTTTCGCCATCCCATACAATGTTCTCAACGATTACGTACGAAGACCACTTTGTCATGTGACGAATGACTGCGTAAACATATTCTTACATCACTGCACACATCCGCCGTGTATATTCAATGCTGGTAAATAGTTAATTCTGTCTGTCTGTTTTCGACATAGAACTCTGCACAAATGTGCGGCAGTTCAAGTCGCCACACTCCATTTAGCACACGAAGCATGAGAAGAAAGTAAAATAGTTAATTAGGGCTCAGTAACCCGGTATCAGGCTGTGCCGTACTTGTGTGAGGGCTAGTGGAACCAGTATGTTTCTCAGGATGAAGTAAAGCGAGATTAGAGCCCGGAACGCACATATTGAAAGTCAAGAGTGTAAGCCAATGAGCCATATATCTCCACTTTAGTTGGTAAAGCAAATCTTCAATACTTAGGATCGCTTTTGAAACATTATTGAGAGAAAAAAGTTTAAACGATATGTTAAAGTCGATTTGATGTCCTGTCTCTGTGTAACGCAATAGAGGAGTTAGGTCTCCTGTTCTCACCATTAATGGGTTCTGAAGATTCTATTTGCTTTTTAATTACCACAGTTTCTGCCGTGTTCATTACAAAAGAGCCTTAGTAAGGTGTCTCTTCAGTAGAATCCAACGAATATGCACTGAAGACACACTTGATGAAGACGAAAGAAAGTTGACATAAACTGATTGATAACAATCATCTAGACAAGTTCATCAGGAGATATACATCGACGCCTAGTTTAAAAATAGGAAGTGAAGTGGTAGAGCACGTTGACCGCTTCACTTATTTGGGAAGTACCATCAGCCCCAACGGGCTGATCTCTGAAGAAATCTCAGCACGAATACAAGGGGCTCGTTTCGCATTTGTTAGTTTACGCCGACTCTGGCGTAGACGAGATGTTCGACTATCGACCAAAGGGCGGGTGTACTGCTCATCAGTCCGCCCTGTCCTCCTTTATGGTTGTGAGACCTGGCCACTGAGAGTGGAAGACATGTAAAGACTAGCTGTCTTTGATCATAGGTGCCTGCGTTCTATTTCCCGTGTAAAGTGGCATAATAAGGTGAGCAACATTGAAGTTAGGCGTCGAGTTCTAGGTAAACAGGGGAAATCAATCGACGAAGTCGTGAAGCTACATCGACTGAGATGGTTAGGACATGTGTTACGTATGCCAAGCCATCGCCTCCCTCGACGAGCAATGTTAGCGGATATAGGGTCAGGCTGGAAAAAAGCTAGCGGCGGTCAAACAAAAACTTGGCATCAGTCAATGAAATCCACAACAGTTGGTCTAAGCCACGTAGAAAGGTGTAGACTTCCAGGCTGGGGTCCTCGGGACGGTAAAAATCTATGGTTGGAAACAATTGGTGACATGGCTCAAAATCGTTCTCAGTGGCGCAGATGCATCCACTCATTGTGACTTATGATCTCCAATGAAACTGTTTTGTTTTTCTTTATTACTCCTTTGTCTCACACCTCTGCTCACTGTTTCTATTATGCTTTTCTTGTACTTTCTTCTCTTGCTTCGCGTGCTACACGGAATGTGGCGACTTGAACTTCCGCACATTTGTGCAAAGTTCTATGTCGAAAACAGACAGACAGACAGATATAAAGTAGTCAGAGCACCACGACCCAACCTACAACTCGCCCCTAAGAAAGACGTGTACGTCAAGCTACCCCATATGGGGCATCATAGCAGCTTGATAACTAGACAAAGATTGAATGCTGTTGTGGTTAATGCAGCTAATATCATAATAATTGAGTGTGAAAACAATATATCTAAGCCCTTTGAACATGCGAAAAGTAATGTCACATCCCACTGTATTCACCAATTTGAATGTGCGTGTGCACACATACATAGGGAGGACTCATCGATCTCTGCAAGTAAGGACTTCATAGCATATTCCTAAATAGCTCCAGAAGCAAATAAAATCTTCAGAACCCATTAATGGTGAGAACAGCGGACCTAGCTTCTCTATTGCGAAACATAGTATACAGACAGGAAATCAAATTGACGTTAACACATCTTTTAAACCTATCTAGAAAAAAGTGCCAAAACTAGTCGTGAATTTTTAAAAAAAACTTACAAGTTGTACTTCAAGTTATCATCAAGCTCCATTAAAGCTGCTTGATTACCACATCGATAACAATAGTTTGGAGCACTGAAAATAGTGACAACATTTCGCTCATGACACCAATTGAAGCCTTCCATAACTAGCTGATGCGCTCGACTAACCAGTGTCAAATTATTGCTATGATTAAATGTCTCTGAAATATCTTGTCCAAAGGTATAACCAGCACCTCGTGGACTGATACCCCAACCACCTCGATCATCTGGATCAGACCATAACAGATCACACATTGGACCCTGAAAATAGAATTTTTAAAAAGGAAAGCATGAATGGAAATATTGACTCTGACGTATCAATTTTATTGTGAAAGACTTAAGCATGCTATTAGTTTTTAGTTTAACATCCTTGAAAGGCAGCAGTTTTGAAGCCTGCAACTACCTGTATACTCTGTAAATTATCAGAGTAATTAACGGGATAGTAGTTACTTTCAGGAAGATGAGTGTGACAAAATTTATCATGTAATGGACTTCCAAGGTATCAAATAAAAATTGTCAGTCAAAATGAATTTTTTAGGTGATTAGTTGTCAGCTGGATGTTGAATAGCCCTGATTTATTTATTTGTAGATATCTAGCTCACTAATTAGGACACTTCACTTTGAAAGCGCTCCACTTCACTTATTTCAGCTGGGATAAATGCATAGTGTCATAAGGCCTCCTTCAAGATCAAACAGATAGTATTGATGACGTGGGTTAATCAACAGTTGTAATACAGTTGGTGGGGGTCAAATATCATTGATTGGTATCATCATTAAAACTAAGTCAAGCTACGCATGTCACTTGGGTCATAAAACATGATTCCAGTGAAATCTAGAGTACGTTTAGCCGGAATTACTCAAAATATATCTTTCACGTATCAGACATATTGCCACAATTATATGTGGGGTGATGATATTACCCGGTTGTCCAGACTGAAGCAGACAGAGAGGCTCATTGGATAACAAATGAGTATTTCAGCCAATACAGCACATCTCGACTTCGACAAAATGTACTAAGCACGTCAATCCAAAATTCACCGACTCCCAAGTTAGTTTCAGTAGGGCTGAATAAAACTTTTGTTGTTAGATTCCATTAACTATCCGTTTAACACTTCAAGACGATAAGCACAAAGTGTTCAGAATCTCGAGTATATATATATGTGAGCTACTCTGCCCGGCATAGATCTCTAATTATCCGTTCTTATTACATGAAACTGCTTAGAAAGGTAATACGCATCGAATGTAGTAACATTTAACACCCACACAAACTGGTACTGCTCTGCATTTTCCCCAGTGTCATTCTATTTCATTGAAGATTCATCGAGGTCCAAAGCAAATGAGCATACAGAAGAAAGAATAAAGCTCCGGCGGTTGATGTAAGTCTATAACTTTACTGGCTGCTTACCTAGCACTGGGGTCACAACCGGTTTCACAATAAAGCAAACATATGATCGACAGTATTACTTTTGGAATACGATTGTTTCTACAGCAACACTGGCACTTATAAAGCAACACATAACACAAATATAAGACCCACTATTATCGTTGGCATTATTTGCTGTACTTTGGGGTGAAGTGAACTTACCTACCCCAACGCCTCAAGCAAAAAGTAGCTATTTTGTGCTTCACTAGTTCGTGGAATGTTAAAAGATACTTCTGGAAAACGCGTAGTTCAGAAAGTCAGGTGACCTAATTCACAAGTATGCAGACACACAGAAATAAGTCATTTCGTTTCCGAATATTTTTAAAGGACAGGCTTGAAGGATGCAATGAGGGAGTAAGTGTTTACAAGATAAAACTCATCCGATGTAAAACATCCGCAAATTGTTGAGGTGACTACAAACAAACCTTTGCAATCACGTGTGTGCATTCTCTGGTGACTTATACCTATTGATAATTAGTACTGTAGGTGAATCTAATATCATGGTAGGATTATATGTATGTTTCAACAACAACAAATGTCTTTGAGTGTCTGAATTGGCCACATAAATCAGGACGCAACTCTATGGAAACTTTTGAACTGTCCACCATTACGGAAACAAAACTTGTAATACTTACTGAAGTGTTGTGCAGACAATTTGCATCAATACTGGGAAGTATACACTCCATATCCACTGGTTTTCGTAAAGACTTATTGCAAGTGACACGGCTTAAAGCCCATAATTCTACCTGTCCAGTAAAGAGCGATACACGTATTGTACAACTCAAGCTGACAATAAGTACAAACTAAATATTAAGTGAGAAAACGAAATGATGTGTTATTAGCCAGTGTCATGGATGAAAATGCACTCGCAATAGACATGCAATATCGATTGAATAGGGGCACGGAACTTTACAGTTTCTAGCAAACAAGACCGTTGAAAACGAATGAAAGCCTAACAGCCGCTAGAAATACAGATAAATATGACTTATCTAACATAATTGATGAAGAATCGGCTTAGCAACTGTTAGTTATTATGACAAGTATTCAACTGACAAGTGAGATACGTGAACTTACCTCATGAGGAACTTCCTGAATTCTATCCAAAGCTCTGATGTGGTCAAGTGTATCTATTGACGGTGACAAACCACCATGAAGGCAAAATATCTGAGAATTAGAAATTTAAAATCATCTTACTGAATTATCAACAAGAGCGGTGAGAGGGAGATAGTCGAACAGATCAGTAAAATACTTCCACACATTAGCGTTACCATATTTACGTAGACATTCATCGTAAAATCCATAAACTTGAGTGATTTGACGACTTTCATGGTTACCACGTAGAATTGTTATCCTATCTTTAAACCTCACCTGCAAAGATGAGTTATTCAGAAACTTTAGTACCTTCATAGCAACGAGTAAGGTGACTGTTTCGACGGAGTAGTAACCACGATCAACATAGTCACCCATGAATAAATAGTTGGTATTTGGTGATTTTCCTCCTATACGAAATAGTTCCATCATGTCATGAAACTGTCCATGCACATCGCCGCACACAGTTACCGGACTTCTGACATTTTGTACGTTCGACTCTTTAGTGAGAATATCTTTCGCCTAGGGAAAATAGACTCACTGCAAAATATCTCACTTTCTCACACAGAGACTTAACTTGGGCCTCTGTCAGCTGATTACACTCATAAAGCTGTTCTATCCATTGGTCAAGCTCTTTAGCTTCGGTGCGGAAATCGCCCGTCATCGTCACCTTATTTCATGAAAAATATTAATCGACCGCCGCTTACAAGTGTTTCAAACAAGGTTAATCCAATATCCGATGTTTTTCCCGCGGGCAGTCATGCACCAACTGAGCTCTTCTTGTTCCATTCTTAGTAATAAAAACATATTTTAAAAGGTTTATCTGCCATTAATATGGCTCATGATGGCAGCGGCCTGTTTAAATCATCAGGATACCCGGTGAAATCCATCTCAGAGGTAGTCAAACGCTTCGAGAGTTTTGAACATATCCTTTCGCCAACTGAAAGTAGGTCCTGTTACACCTTGGGGACCAATGACCAAAGAACACCCATCCCAGAGACCTGACAACGCCACCTTAGTGCCCTAACACCACTCTGGCCTGCAACCCCATCTTCCACACCTCCGAAATCGAACAGATGTTATTAGTATCGTCGATTTGGTTGCAGAGCGTGAGGATATGGACACAATGAAAGGCCTTCAGATGAGCCACTTCTTAATGTACCCACTGTGTGATAATCAGATATTAATATTTTAGAGATATTAGTATCCGTCTTTGGTTCCACACACTGTGTCAGCTATCTCTCGGGAAATATTCCCCGCCTTAGATGTAGACTGTTCGCAATGCCAGCAAGGAATTGATCCGATATCATGTGTGCTATATGCATAATGCCAGATGTTTCTGTTGACTGACACTGGTGAAAATCCTGCCCAAAGCGGCTAGTAACGGCATTGTTGTTGTGAAAGGTATAAACGATATGAGTACTCGGTGATTTGCTGCCACTATAGGGATGAAGTGTTGGTATCTGTTTCAAGTAGACATCAGACCCTAGTGAGTTTTGTGCAGACATTGGCACATTCTCCCTACAAATGTATTTATTTGTCAATCTAGTTGAAGAATGAACGATCAATTGATGGTTGTCGACTCAAAACCAACCCCATATTTTGGCGGGAGTCGGTGATACTGCAGTCATCCCTCCATCGTTTGCTGTTCGTTAGAAGACGGATAAATATTACCAGAAGTATTATTGTGAATAATTGTTGCGACATTTGTTCTTAGACTTGTGTATAATAACCTTATGGTTGGTTCCATATTTGTGCAAGAATAAAGGATTCTCTAGACACCAATCTGTATTCTGTTTTGTCGCGTTGGTTATTGCTGAAGGTCTCCTGAGGACAGTGTTAAGTCCAGTGTAGTTAGACCTAGACATTGACAAAATTTGATGCATGAATTGCTTATGTTGGCTTATTTGGTTTGCTAATTGTAGTCAGTAGCCGATGTCTGGGGGATTTTCTATAACTTTCAGTTGATAGAACATTAGAAGGGGTGTCAATCACGTCTCATAAACCGTTAATGCCCAGCTCTCGCTACGCTCGGGCCCACGCTGCTCTTCGAAGATTTCAGAAACGCTTAGTTATAACGGACGCAAAAACCAAAACACCGATCTGCCGCTTGATATTTGTTTATTGTTACACCAACATATAAAAGGAATAAGCGAACTAAGGTCTGAAAACAAATATTACAATAATAAATCATTGTATTACTTCTGACGATGTTTCACTCTTCTTTCTGAACAGCGACCGATGAGACGATGACTGTCGTATTGATGCCTCCGCGAAAATTGGGGAAGTTGATTTTGAGCAAACAAACAAGAATTGATCGTTCAATCTTCAACTACATTGACACTCCCCGGCAAAAAACGGATCCATCCCTGTTTTCCATCACGACCAATGCACATTGACTTGGATGCCATTGCGAGAACCTGGGTCACACGGACAGAGCTGAAATGGAAAACAAACAGAAAAGCCAACACACCACAAGCATACCCAAAGCACAATCTCACACATTAATGACGACCTGCGCCTCCAGACAGAGACCTCCTCTTGACATCTTGCAGCACAATCGCCATTTGCTAGAATGACTCTTTCAGAATGCAAAGTGACCATAGAAGCACCTCACGATACCCTACGCACATCCTCTTATCTACTCACTACCAATTACCACTGCAATCGCTTGTCACTCATTCTGCCTCAGTTTTAGTAACGGTGACGTACGCAAGCCTCAGCCGTCTACACTCCCGCTCCCCGGCGTGTGAGACCACAACTAACAATTATCTCCGTGTGCATTTCATTCTCAGCAATAGCCTAGCCTCCCCGGCGTATACGACCCATCTGCTGTCCTTAACATCAATCAATTCATTCAAGGATGTAGACGACTCGAAACAACTTCAGAAGTAATCACGACGAAAAATTTAACAAAATTACGCAATAACAACAAGATACGAAAACAACAAGTAAACACGATGAAACCATAAAACACCAATTGATATGACACACCACACGTATATACAAATAGTACAAACAACCTCGCTGATCATGTCTTGGTGGAATTCCTTTGAAGAATTGCAGGACTTACACCAGTACGCCTACAACCCTTGTCAGGTTGACGATTATAAGTTGTGGAATGTCCGGACACAAACAAGATTAACCAACAATTACAATAATTGGAACTCACACAACTATTTAACACAAACATATGTACAATCACTACATCAAATGTTGTGGATTCCGGCATGACAAACTACCCTTGAAGAACTGTAGGATTTACAGCAGTACGCCTACAACCCTTCTCAGGTTGACGCCCTAGGTTGGAAAATCGTCGCAGAGTTCATTTGCTAACTTCCTTCTATGAGCTATATCCTCAAATCTGAACGGCAACACGCCCATGTCATTGTATCGTAGAATATAGATGACCAACAAACACACGACATATCTCATCAACCAAGTATAGAAACAGAGCAATTTACACCAAAGATAATAACATTCAAATAGTAACTTGAAACTAGAAATGCCTTTATTCCTGCAAGTCAATTTAACAATTACTCTCTCGTTTACACTTGGCTTATCCTCACTAAACTGACCATTGATATTCGTCCTTTCAAACGAACTGATACTAGCATAGTCATTGGACAAGATACTTGAGTTGATGGGCATTCTGTAAACCCATTAGTCTCTTAGGAGCAACTTTCCTATTACAAACTAACTGTCTATCTTTGAATCTCAGTGGTAGGCCAACGCTGAAACGCCCGTTTTCCTATTTACAAGAGTCCTCGGCTATTTTAACTGCTTTTAAGTCTTCTACAGAACGACTCTTCTCAGGGACACCGCAGTCACAAAACTCCTTGTCATACATATTTTTAATCATAGTTTCTAGTTTGTCCACATCGTTTGTAACTAATGATGATATGTGGACTATGGGTATAGATCCTCTCACTGTCCATCCCTGTGGTGTTTTCGTCGCAAACAGATCATCTCTACCTCCAAATCTCTCTTCTAATACCTTGTGTGCTTCTGGGACACTACATCCAATGAGTACTCTCACTCTTCCATCTTGCAATGTTGGAAGAGGTATGTCACACAGGTATGGCTTACCGACAACCGTTTCACGACTAGGTACTATAGCTTCGCCAAGTTTCATACTGGAGGTAGTGTAAGCAGTATCCACTTCCACGGTCTCCCCAGTAGCCAAGGATTCTAACTGAAATGACACTCGCTCACATACTACTGTTTTCGCAGAATTGAAAGTATTTACAACCAAGGGTTGCTTTGGGCCTTTAATACCCAAGCAACCAGCCAGTTCAGCATCTATCAATGTAAGAAAACTTGTGGGGTATCAAGGGGTCTAGAGATACTATTACAATGGACCGAATTCCCAGGTTCGTTCACTGTTCTCAGAAGTGGGTGCATATCCGTTAAACCACTACTTCTTTTATTTGTCGCCTTACAACTCCACTTTGTATGCCCAATCTTTAAACAACTGAAACACAGCCGCTTCTGCTTTGCAATTTTTAACCTTTCTACGGGTGACATAGCGATAAAGCGATTACAATTACTCAATTGATGCATGTTATGGAAAAAAATACACTCATCCTTTCTCGTTGTGTCTTGAGACTTCACCACAAATGCCTTCCTTATATTCACTGGTTCCTTAGGTTCTACCTTAGAATGCAAAATGCTGGCGAATTTGCCCATCGCCTGGTTGACACTGTCCTTCACCAGTCTAAGAATATCATCAAACCTTGGCTCGATACCCTCCTCCTCTATACGAGAGCTTATTTTTACCCACTTCCTTTGCAGCCGAGTAGGTAGGCGTCTCGCAATTACCTCTAGGACTGAGCTGGAGTTGAGGTCACTCGTGCAATTCATAGAAATCAAGGTATTCTTATAAGTCATAAGATTATCTAAAAACTCAGTAAGTGCCTTGGAGTCATCTCGAAGTTGACTGCCATTACCTTTGACAGCTTCGTATACGTTCCTTACAATCATTGAAGGTCTTCCAAACCTTTGACGTAATATGCTCATAGCCTCGTAGTAGCCCTTTTTGGCTTCATAAACTTACAACACTGTATAGCTCTTGAAGCATCTCCAGTGCAATACCTCATCAAATAGATTAACTTCAATTCATCACTTAATAGAAAACTACTCAGCATGATCTCAAACTCCTTTACAAACTGTAAATAATCGGCCGGGTTTCCATCGAAACACCGTGGTTCAAATTTAGGGAGTTTGATGTTCCTATTATCCCTGGACGGCGAAACAATGACATCAACCATGTCATGCTTAACATCAGACACATCGTTACAATTAACAGACAAGTCACCATGACTCACTTTCCTGTTTACATCCAAGACGCTTTGTCCCTTCTTTGACCCAGGCATCGTTGCACTTGACCCAATTCCAAAAACGTTCCAGATATTGCTTGTTCAAAGAAAACTTGACCGGCACCAGGAAAGATGAACGGTGACTATCCAAACTGTCACCAACTGTTTGAATCCACCAGATCTGTTTCTACCATCAGAAACTGTCAGTCATGTCTCATAAACCGTTAATGCCCAGCTCTCGCTACGCTCGGGCCCACGCTGCTCTTCGAAGATTTCAGAAACGCTTAGTTATAACGGACGCAAAAACCAAAACACCGATCTGCCGCTTGATATTTGTTTATTGTTA